TAAAACTAAAAAACAAGCGGCAGATGAATTATCAGCAGAAATGGTTAAGATTACAAATTGGTTAAAAAACTCGTGTTTACATCTTAATGTTAGCAAAACTGTATGTATGTTTTTTTCAAAGTCTGCAAATAGAGATCCCCATCCAGATATCACAGTTTCAGGTAAAAGGTTATCAGTAGTTCAAGAGTATAAATATCTAGGTATAATACTTGATTCACAACTTACATTAAAAAAAACAAGTTAAAATAGTTGGGAATAAAATTAAATTAAATTTGGCAAATTTTAGATATATTAGGAATAATTTAACCACTGAGGCCTCAAAGTTATACATTAATGCTATGATTTTTTCACATATGAATTACCAGTTGGACACAGACAGGTGGGACTATTTTGCAATCAATAGAAAGACTCTATAAGCAGGCTTTGAAAATATTGGATAAAAGGTCTAATTCATATCATCATTGTGAAATTTTAATTAAATATGGGTTTTTAAGTTGGGAAAATATGATTAAATTTGCAGATATTTTACTTGTGTTCAACATTTTGCATGGTTTGGCTTCGCTCTCACTTAATAAATTTATCAGGAAAAATTTGAATTCTTTTACTAGAGCCACTACTAGAAGGGACTGTATAATACCATATAGAAGAAGTACTTTTGGGCAATCCGTATTTTCTTATAGAGCAGTACATACTTGGAATACTATACCCATAGAATTAAGAAATATTACATCTCTTGCTCCTTTTCCTGAATCGGTAAAAGGGTGGTTATTGGATAATCAAATATGTCTTCATAACTTGAAGTAGTGTTTCTTTTTCTTTTTTTTTTAATTGTATTCTGGTTTTTGTAATATGTTTGTTTCTGTTTTGTGTATTTGTGGATTATGGTTCTTACCATCAACCTGCCAGGGACTGCAGATGAAAATTAGCTTGAATGACTAAATCTGGCACATTTACATAGTAGACTTGTTTACTCATGGATAATCAAATATGTCTTCATAATTTGAAGTAGTGTTTCTTTTTCTTTTCTTTTTATTGTATTCTGGTTTTTGTAATATGTTTGTTTCTGTTTTGTGTATTTGTGGATTATGGTTCTTACCATCAACCTGCCAGGGACTGCAGATGAAAATTAGCTTGAATGACTAAATCTGGCACATTTACATAGTAGACTTGTTTACTCACGTTAATTAATGTGTATTGTCCCTTTTAAATAAAAACAAACAAACAAACAAACGGGTTTGAAATGACATGAGGGTGAGTAATTAATGACAGAATTGTCATTTTTGGGTGAAATATTCCTTTAAATAAACTTGTTTAGAAGCATACTGAAAGCTTTCTACAGGTTGAATTCAGTGCTGCTTTATTTATCCAGGTCCATGTGAAGTACAGCAGTTAATGTTAAGACATAAATGTTTTACAAAAGTACGTGACCCACATCCTATTGTTAGCATTCAGACAAACGCCTTTGCTAGTATCACCACTGACATCTTGACGAACTGGTTTGGGAGGACCTGAAACCAAAGTTTCAGCAAAACAACTTCAGAGTGTTTTGGTTGGAATAGAGATACAATGTTTTTCATTGAAATATTAAAAATGTTCAAACGTCCTGCTTCTGTGAAATAATTAAATTCTGTGCTAACCTTTTATTTATTTTTTCTTTAAAATGTGCTAATTTGCTGAAATGCATGCACATGAATCTCAGGGATGGATTGTGTTTTTGGCTTGCCCCAGGCATAGATATTTCAAAGAGGCCCATTAGCAATGCATTCAACTGTTTATAACTTTATGGCCCATCGTATAGTAAAGACACAAATACATAATCAGAATTTGACCAAATTCTGATTAATAACATAATATTCTTATGCATACTATAAACATGGCCATTGCCTTCCCTAAAAGAGTGGAAATAATTTGTATATGTGGATGCAGCTTTAAAAAAAAAATCTGTTTCTCCTTCCTCCTTCTCCTCGCCTCCTACAATTCAACCTCATAATTACAAAACCAACCATATGCTAAAGTGTTACCATAGCTATATTATTGCCATAAAATAATAGTTTTCCAAAATAGTTTCAGTGTCTGATTAGGACTAAATATTACTGAAGAAACAATGTTTTTTTTTCTTAGTGAGTCTAATTTTGTCTAAAGTTCTCTGAATGAAGTGGAGACAGACTAAACATGTATTATAGTTGTTTATTATTTTTTTACAGCAAAATATAGACAGCATTGCTAAAAACTGGTTTTACAGGTCTTTGCCAACATCTCTGTTAATATTGTCAACATTTTAGTCACCATCAGAGGTTTCTTTGATGTGAGAATATTCAGTATTTTCACACTATTATTATGAAATGATGTCAAAGCAGTATCAATACATTGTTTTACACAAACATTTCTTTTAATAAACAAACAGTAAGACAAATTTACTGATCAAGACATCTTTGTGCAAAAATGCTTATTTATGTTTGAAAAAATGTAGAAGGTTAATGCACATTTTATAAAACCATTGCCATTGTAATTTATTAACAGTCAGTTATCTATAATGATTAATGGAACTATTCATATTGTCATATTAAACATAAATTATAAGAACATATGTTTTCTGAAAAACACAGTTAACATTTCAGAAAATGACATTCCCTGAGTTAGATTCCTCTCATCACATTATAAATGCACACTTTCTCTTTCAGTGATCTGTAGAATCACAGCACAAAATCTCAGTAGATAAACTACGCCATATCAGACACTGTCCTTCCTTTGTTTCTCCTTGGGAAAGAATTCACAGGTGGGAATAAAGAGGTTTTACAAAAAAAGGGTCTTTGTAAGTAAAAAGTCTTTGCGTGCTGGATCTCCTTTAGACGTAGGCTCTGCTGGTGGCAGTGGACCGTGGCTGAGAGTACTTGATATTGTAGTTGTCCTCTTTAGGCGGGCAGGAGCTACACAGAATACCTCCTCCCAGGATCAGCAGCGCAGCCGCACCGAATCCGATATAGATAGAAGGCCCGAGCTCCCTCCTTTGGGCATCTGTGAGAATGGGATTGTAGAAATCCCTGACGATGGTGTTAGTTGACCAGCAGACGGGGACCAGGACCAACACTCCGGCGATGATGAAGATCACACCACTGGCGATAGCAACCTTTGTCTTGCTGTCTTCCCTCTCAACAAAGTTTGTGCATTTTCCACCGGCAATCCCCAGGACGAGCCCAAAGATGCAGATAATGATGGCGATGATCACAAGCGCCCGAGCAGCCTGCAAGTCCTGAGGTAAAGCCAGGAGCGAGTCGTAGATTTTGCACTGCATCTGCCCTGTGCTCTGGACCACACAGTTCATCCACAAGCCCTCCCAGATGATCTGTGCTGTCACGATGTTGGCTCCAATGAACGCAGACATCTTCCACATGGGAAGGGCGCAAACAATAATCGCTCCCAAGAAACCAATAATGGCCAGGGACAGGCCTAGGATCTGTCGACACATAGACACCATTTTTCACTCGTTTGCTCTGCTTCGTTGGCTTGCAAGTGTTTGCTCCTCTGTTAATCGTAGTAATGACTTCTATTCCTCGCCTTCAGAGTTTTAAGATTGTCTCAGAAGGGAGGAGTCAAAGTCGGATCGGCCTGAAACCAGGTTAAGGTGATTTTTCAAGCCTGACCAGATTCCCCAGCAGGGAATGACGATACAACGGCTAGTTTCGGTGAGATGCGCATCAACGAGGAACTGAACAATAAAGTGTCACATAAATACAAAGGGACCAAGTCATTAACCGAAAGGCTTTAGTTGATATCATACACAAACTTGTTGAACCTCAAAACAAAAAATATGAAGCTAAAAATAAGGCTAAAAATATAAGCCATCCATACACCATTGATGGCAGGATGAATTAAATGCTTCTTGAATATACATGACTTTGTTTTTCTACTACTGTAATTAAAACATAAACCAATGCTACAGTACCATTGGATTTAATTTGTTTCCTGTTAATATCCAGGCAGAATTCACTGTGCTTTCCAAGTAAAATTTACAATACAATTGCATCAACACTTTTCTTTCAAATTAAATGGCCGTTTTAATCACATTTTTGTCCATTTGACAGCTGGGCGATAAAGGATTAATGCAATAGATTGGGAATTTGTGGCCTAATGGTTAGAGAGTCAGTCTCGTAACCCAAAGGTTGCAGGTTTAAGTCTCGTACCGGCAGGGATTGTAGGTAGGGGGAGTGAATGTACAGCGCTCTCTCCCACCTTCAATACCACAACTGAGGTGCCCTTGAGCAAGGCAACGAACCCCCAACTGCTCCCTGGGTGCCACAGCAAAAAATGGCTGCCCACTGCTGTGTGTTCACGGTGTGTGTGTGTTCACTGCTGTGTGTGTGCACTTTGGATGTGATAAATGCAGAGCACTAATTCCTAGTATGGGTCACCATACTTGGCCACATGTCACTTCACTTCACTAGATTTAGATAATGAAGAATAAATGTATAAATGAAACTCTGAGATCATTTATAATAATCAAGAAATATATTTATTGACAAGACAATGTAAAGATCCAAAGCTATACATATTGTCAAAATATTCACCAGTGGAGAAGCAAAGTTACACATTCTTTTGAAAAAAACATCAGAAAAGGCATGATTTGCAAAAGTGAACAACACAACAGTACTTGCAAATGTCACCTACTCTGTTAAAACATACATATATACAGAGTTAATTAGCATTACATCATCTCTACCAGTAGAACTTGAATGAGAGGAGAAAGAGGACAAACAAGATTTTCCAATCCATCTGCATTCAAAGGCTAGCAAAGAATAAGACACTCCAAGCAAGTCATACATACATTTATTATACATACATTTTATTTAACCAAAGACTGAAACAAGTAGAGATTTCATTAAAAAATGTTCCAGAAAGTGTCAGTTAAAATTATTGTCCATTAGCTAAAGATATTGTCCTGGAACAGGTGAGTAAGTTGGGGGTGGATATGGTTTGTTAGGAACATAGGCTCCAGTATATACAGCACTCGGTGCATATGTTTTGGCAGGCAAATAAGATCCAGGAGGCCCATACATAGGTCCTTGGTAGGGGTACATGCCTGGGTATTTTGGATACATATCTTCACTTGGTGGGCAGGAAGTACACAGAATGATTCCTCCAAACAGAAGAAATCCTGAGGCGCCCCAGCCAATGTATATGGATGCCCCAAGCTCCCTCTTTTGGGTCTCGATTGTGAGAACGCTCTGGAAATCTGAGATGGTGTATGCTGAGGACCAGCAGACTGGAATAAGACAGATGACACCAGCTATAATACACAGGATGCCTCCCAGGATCAGCACTTTGGCCATGGAGGACTCTTTCTTCAGACAGCTGCTGCACTGGCCTCCCACAAACGTCAGTAGCATTCCAATGAAGCCGATCACTATTGAGATGACGGTCAGTGCACGTGCCGCTTGTAAGTCCTGGGTCAGTCGCATGATTGAGTCTTGGACTTTACATTGCATCTGTCCAGTGCTCTGCATCACACAGTTCATCCACAAGCCATCCCAGACCATCTGGCCCGTGACAATGTTGGCACCGATGTACGAAGTGACACGCCACATGGGAATGCCACAGCAGACACACAAGCCAACAAAACCAATGAAGCACAGGATCTGTCCGGAAACCTCTTTAGCAATCCTCCCCATGTTGAAGCTGCTGGTGTTGTCAAACTCAAACGCAGCTGCTGGTCTGGTCTTAACCCATAGATGTCTGAGAAACAAGCAGGAAGTGATGGCCTGTTTGATTTAGACACAGACACTGGGAGGAGTTTTGCATATCTGCTTGTTAATCCTGCTGAACAAGATTCCAAAGAAAGATTCTTCAGATATGCTGCTTGCTCAGTGCTTTCCATGAAGACACATTCAGATCTGGTTTTGGCTGCATGAAACCGCTGTCTTGTCTCTCTTAACTGTGTCAAATATAATGTCATTGACTTCATCCTTGTGAACAAAGATTTGAACATTCTCTCAGATGAGAGGAAATGGGTTTCAAGTTAATGAACACTGGTGTTTAACAAGATATGAAATGAAATCGATATCTGAAAGAGGTGAAATGCTGAATAAATTATTATTCAATAATGTTTGATTATTCCATTATTCAGTACATTCAAAAATGTACTGAATAAACATTATTCAGTACATTTGATTTATGTTACCAGATGCAGTAGCAGAAATGAAGTACATTTTAAAAAATTGCTTAATGTAGACATATCTTGAGCTCAAGATGTTTCATAGTCAAGATAACAGTGAGTTTTTAGAATGTTTAGGCTTTATTTTAGGTTAGAAAGTTATAGTGCAAGACATCTTTTAAGTGCCTTCAAAGAACCTTAGAGTATTTATGGGCCCGTTAATCATTACACAACATGCCTTGAGTTTCCATCACTGGAATTAGAATCTCAGTAATAATAAGCAGTTGCAACTGTTGAGTAATGACATAGAAATTCCAGTGAATGTGGAACATGTCACATAAACATCCTGTATATTAATTAGGCTAATGCTCATATGCTAAGTAGTTGCATTGCGCCAAGAGAGAAAAATTCTAATGTTTTGATTACTAGGGATCAGATTTTGCCATAACATTTAAACCATGTGTCTTATTTATTTATTTATTTATTTATGCATTTGAAATAATATTGGATTAATATGCTTTAATTAATACTTTACATCACAGTTGTAATGCTGACGGTGGTTGTAGTGTAGCGCATGAATACAAAGTAAACAGTCTTTATTTAAATCCACAAGGAAACACTGGAGATCAACAGAAAGATAATACACAGCAAAATCCCCAGAGTTAAATCAACTCTGCTCAGAGTACATATTGTCCCAATCTACAGAGTGTTAAAGTAACACTCTGAGAGGAACGCAGATTACGACATGGTGTGTAAGGCATTAAAAGGTCAGTCAAGTAATGAGGAGCCAGATCATGCAAAGTCTTGTATGTTAGCATAAGGATTTTAAAATCAGTACAAACACAACTGGAAACGGAGGGAGGGAGATCTTCACTTCTGTGGCTCTCTGCCTGTCTGTGATGTGCTGATGAATGTGTGCTACACCAGTGTTTCCCAACCACTGTGCCGGTTGTCGGATGTGCCATGGAAAATGATCAACAACTTTCTATCGCTATTATATTTCGTTATTATTATTTTAAATCAGTGCTATTGGTAATCATTTTATTTATTTATTTATTTTTCTGTTTGAGGGTTTTACAAATATTTAACCAATGAAATGCAATCAAAAGAGCTTGTGGCTAAACCTCGAACGCCATTGGATCCTCAAATTGTCAGTCAAACCTCATAACTCCACCCCGCCTCCATTCAGAATGAAGCGCCACGACGAGCAGTTTGAAGACAGACGTCTACTTCTTTGCAGTGCAAGGGTAAATAAAGAACTGATGTAAAGTGTTTTCTTTACTCAAGAAACACTGTCTATAAAGGCTAATGTTGAAATATCCTAAATGTTATCCTAAATGTTGAAATATCCTGCACATTGCAGTTCATCTTTTATATCAGGAGATTTTGGCCAAATATATTAAACAACAAGAAAAACGGAGTGCCCTTATAGCTACAATAAACTTTATAACATGTAAATTGATGGAAACGTAATGCGATTAATTTACTGCTTCAGATGCAGCCATTCAAATGACAGACAAATCACATAGGCTAACTCTGTCATTCGCTGGTCAAACACATCCTTAACTCCATTTGAGCATGGATTTCAGAAAAGGTTATTTGTTTGACAAGGAAAGCTGTGCACAAACAGAAACACGCATACACAAACATATACACATAAATTCATTTATTAAAAAACAAACAAACAAAAAAAAAGAAAAAGTGAAGAAAAAGGGCAGGTGCTCAAGCCCCCTTTGATGTCTATGTGTGCACGTGCCTGGCATACAGTTAGTGTTGGCGGTATGGTTCTGTTCTGGGCTAAACTCCCCATGCCTGTCCATGCAGCCATGCTTGGACATAGCGGGGAGAGCAGCGAGTCAAACCCCCTGGGCGTACAGAACACATCCAGTATATGTATACATAATTACAATTCACAATTTACATGAGTTGTAGAAAATACAAAATATATGATAGAAAATGCTTGCAATATAGTGAACTGTATAATATGAAGAAGAGAGAGAGAGAGAGAGAAAAAATCAGAATAGATTACCGGTTCAGTTAGGTGGAGTTGGGGTTGGAGGAGGGAGTTCATTTGTGAGTAGTGCTGCGATAGAAGAGAAGCTGGAGAATGGTAATTTAAATGGTCAACATGCATCCATGCTGCTCACTACACAAATGACAGGAAACTCCCTCCAATTAAATGAAAATGCCATTTCTGGTTAATCTCAAAATCTTGTCTGGACATGTGAAGACCAGTTTCACGACCTTTGTGCTTTTCTGAAAAGCCCCAAAATAAAACCCTAGTCCGATTTTGGAAGATGGATTTAGGTATTAGTAATATTATGTAAGAATAGTCTAACAATGCTAGTTTCACCACTGTCACCATTACACCACTATGC